AGAATAATAATTGTAAATAAAATAAAATCAAAAACATCGAAGCTAAATAATGAATGATCCTCGTGATAACAAACAAAAATCTAGCTAGCTAATTATGGCCGTTTGAAGAAATATTTTTCATGGAAATGTTTCAAAACTCCAATGAAATAAGAAAAGTTTTCTTTTTTTTTTGTTTCCATTAGCTACTTAAATGCGCTTAAAAGTATTTTTTTATTCTTTTGATGGCGTCGTCTTTCATTTAGTGTATGATACAATTGGTGAAGAAACAAGTTGATTCCCGTTCGGTTGGTGTAGATAAATGTCCGAAGACTGTAATTTCCCCAAGATCGGTGAGATGTCAAGTTATATTTATTTAGATATTTAAGCTGATTATTTAATCCTATAAACAACAGCAAAATGATTTCTTCTGTCTCTTTTCCATTGTCATATTCATTTCGCGGACAATTATAGAAAACACTTCATTCACATTAATACGACTCTTGGCAGATGCTTCAATGAATGGACAACCCCACATCTCGGCTAGTGCATGACCTATGAAAGGAAATAAATTGATTTGAATCACCAACAAAGTCAATTGCTTACCTTCTTCAGTGGAAACTTCTCTTTGGCATTCTAAATCGAGTTTGTTGGCGACTAGAAGAATTGGAACTGGCTGACTGCCCTTCACTCGACTAATGACATTACGCATCGTCGTGATATCTTGAAATGTCTGATGATTTGTGAGCGAATACATGACAATGAAGCCGTGACCATTTTTGATGTAAAGATCGCGCATGGAGGCGAATTGTTCAGTGCCAGCTGTGTCCAATATCTCCAGAACGCAAGGTGAGTTATCAACCTATAATCGAATTACTCATCAATCTCTCCAACTATTTACTACGAGATGAACTTACTTCGATTTCCTTCCGATAAAAATCTTCAATTGTGGGGTCATATTTTTCGATGAAACATCCTGAGACGAACTGTACAGTTAAGGCCGATTTTCCTTTTTAAATACATCATCAAATCAACAAATAATCATCAATCATCAATATTTAGTTTTATTTCACTTACCCACACCACCCGATCCAAGCACCACAACTTTAAACTCGCGCATTTTGTCCGTTCAAGGAAATTTTCTTCGATATTGTTGAGCAAATACGTTTGGAAAAGGAAGAAGGGCTTTTTATGTTTTTAAAATGAGTTTATCTCAATGTTTGTTCACGTCAAACTATTTCTCATACATATGTTCAATTCTCGGTTTTGATTGCTTGCAGAATTCTTCTAATTGAATGTTTTAATTGACTAACTCGCAGTTGGCATCAATTGTTGTGTTACTGGAAACAAAACATACAATGAATAAATCTTATGATTGTTTACACTTCTCAGATTATGATGACGAAGTATTTGTTGTGTACAACATGTGTGTGCAGATTGTCATTGTTGCTGAGGCTGTGAAAAGCGTCGTCATATTAATTTATGACAAACATTTGAGAGATGAGAGATTTAAGGGTTTAAGAAGGAAATTGAAATGTCAGAATTACAAAATTCACGAAACATTTCAGAACTTTATGTTTTTTAGATAAATAAATAATTCAGATCTTATTTGCGTCTACTTGAATGTGCTAATTTCTTATTTAATTAACGTGTGACTCTGAATGTATGTTAGAAACTCTTAAACTGAGGTTTTTTGAGCACGCAGGCACGTTATACTACTTTTAGGTCTTTGTTCTTGGTATTATTTAATTGAATCTTAGTTTCGACGCAAGTTTATTTAATTTTGCTTTGACGTGAATAGCTAAATCAGACCTTGAAGTCGGTCGCTTGAGATTCATTTCTTAATCAACTCTTTCATCATATGATTTCTGTTTTATTAGTTGTAAAACATTAAATGTTTTTCATATTCTCATAAAAATATCGTTTAATCAAGCATTAATTGATGAACGACATTAATCGATGCCGGTCTCTGGCAAATAAACAATTCAACATCTCAATCGTCAACAGTTAACATTTTTAGAAGGAAATCCGTATTGAAATCTTTATTACAACTTTCAAGATAAATATTCAAGGAATCTTCAGCATTAACTAAAAAAAGAAATTCTTAGTTTTATTACAACTTAACTTTACATTCCGATACAAAATATTTAAGTTGCAAGAATTTAATTTAAATCACATCATCGCTCGAATTTACCCGCTTTGGAAGCAACAAAATCAACTAAAAAAAAGCAGATAAATGAAAAGAAATGTCGAAACATCAACAACANCAGAAGCTACATGAATAAGTTTAGTTCTACATTTTTGAAAATTTCGTTACATTCCGTTGATAAATTTCAATATTTTTATATGATAGAATAAAATAAAATCAATTTTAAATTAAAATCGTTTAGTTTACCCTGGAAAGTGTTATCAAACATAGAATTTTTATTAAATGACACTGGAATTTGCTACTCCTCACGTGTATATCCAATTAATCTGATATAAATAAAAATCTAAATAGATTATAATTATACTATACAAAGACAATTTTTTCTCATAATGTAGAATTTAGTTTATTAAAATAAAATAAAAAATATACACAAAACTCTTTACTTGTCACTGCTTCATTGAGCTGAAAGATTACAGAAACTATGATAATCTTTATGACATTAATTTCCTGCACATCATCAAATCATAATAAAAACAAATGTAAAAAATTATATTGCATGAGTTGAAATGAATTATTGATGTTTTAGTTTCATCTACAAAAGAATTTATCTACTATTTTTACCTAAATTTCCACATTTTCTTATCATTTTTTTTTTCTTTTGGTAAAAGTAAAGCTAAACTTTCTTCCTTATCAAATATTAATGTTTCATCATTTTTTCATCATGTAAAAACATCCACGACCTTCGAAAAAATACAGAATGAAAATGATTGGGGGTGAATTTAATTAACCATTTGTAGAGTTTGCTTTTTCTTTCATGACATAGACAAAAAAAGGAAAGAAAGCAGAACTTATTAAGATAGGAATTTGATGATAGTCTAAAGGTAAATTACAGTCTAAAAATAGTTTATAATTCCTCTCGATATGATTGATGGCGATTTTGAATTTCTTTTACATCACAACTGGCCTCGTAGGCCACTGGAACCTTTGACAACCTTCAACCATTTTGATATTGTTATAATTATTAGAAGGAAAGTGCTTGAAGGGAAAAATGCGATAAAATAATTATTTAAATTGATACTAATTGATTGGAATCTCACTCAAGATTGCGAATGGAATTAGAATAAGTCAGGGCAGGGCTTAAGGATTCCGTGTTCTTTAAGAGGACGAGATATTCACTTAAAATTTGTAGGAAAATTCAACTTTTCTCCTCCACATTTTTTCAATACTTATTATCTAAAATTGTAGAAGTTTCATTTTTTGAATTGGATCGGTGAAGCATGGTTTGTCCTATAATATCGTGCAACAGCAATATCGGTTTTTCTTGTTTCGTTTCTCAGTTGATGTGTTCATTTCGCGGACAATTATAGAAAACACTTCATTCACATTAATACGACTCTTGGCAGATGCTTCAATGAATGGACAACCCCACATCTCGGCTAGTGCATGACCTATGAAAGGAAATAAATTGATTTGAATCACCAACAAAGTCAATTGCTTACCTTCTTCAGTGGAAACTTCTCTTTGGCATTCTAAATCGAGTTTGTTGGCGACTAGAAGAATTGGAACTGGCTGACTGCCCTTCACTCGACTAATGACATTACGCATCGTCGTGATATCTTGAAATGTCTGATGATTTGTGAGCGAATACATGACAATGAAGCCGTGACCATTTTTGATGTAAAGATCGCGCATGGAGGCGAATTGTTCAGTGCCAGCTGTGTCCAATATCTCCAGAACGCAAGGTGAGTTATCAACCTATAATCGAATTACTCATCAATCTCTCCAACTATTTACTACGAGATGAACTTACTTCGATTTCCTTCCGATAAAAATCTTCAATTGTGGGGTCATATTTTTCGATGAAACATCCTGAGACGAACTGTACAGTTAAGGCCGATTTTCCTTTTTAAATACATCATCAAATCAACAAATAATCATCAATCATCAATATTTAGTTTTATTTCACTTACCCACACCACCCGATCCAAGCACCACAACTTTGAATTCACGCATTTCTCCTCGTTTTGTTTCGAGGAAAATTATTAAAATTTTTGTTAAGAGGAAAATAAGATCAAAACTTTGTTGAGCAAATGAAGTCCTATAGTTTATGCTTTTATCTTTTGCAATACGGTTTCTTTCTTCACTTAATTGAAACGATGGTGGTTTTCGCGTAACGCGATTTGATGGTTTCTACTCTGAAAAATTAAGAAGATAACACTTTATGAAGAGTTAAGCACACATATTTTATCTTCTTAAGTAACATTCTTCATTGAATAAAATCTGTTCTTTGTTTTGATTGGTTTAAACTTTACGCTTCTATTACAAAAAAAAGAAAGGATTCAAAACAAGTTTAAATATTTGAAATCCATTAATAACAAAGTTAATGAGCGGAGACAGAGCGATCATATAATTGAAGTAATTAGTGGCTTTTTTTTGCCTTCACTACCACTTCGCGGATTATCATCAACAACAATAAAACACTGCTGCACTTGTTGTAACAAGAAAGAAAGAAATTCACAATACAAAAGGAAAACCTCGATACTGAAGATGTGCAGCGAGTTATTGAACAACTAAACTTATTCACATTAATTTAGGACAGTTATTTTATAATGAAACGCTAAATGATCCAATCAAGGATAGTCTTATGACAATGATTACAAATTTTCACAAGACACTTGACTTCTTAAATCTTTTTTTTTCCTTGGAAATATTTGATGAATCATCGGTTTTTCTGGCGCCGTAATCAACGAAATCAACTTACATTAGTACACTATGAGCTCTTAAAGGTTATTACACATCACAGAAATGTTTTTTTAATGCCATTTAATATTAAAAAGGTTAATTTTCCTTTTTGGATTTACTTTTTTGTAAATTTTTTAGAAACAAGATTTTGTTTACATAATTGGCCACAGGTGTCGCTTAAGTTCAATCCTAAACCAATGAAAAACTACTAAAGTCGTAACTCGTGAGCAACGAAATCATTCCCTTGGATTTAACTGAGCAAAATTTCTGATAAGATTATCTGTCAGCGATTTTCAAAGTTACAAAGAAATATAAATCTCCTTAAGTTTCAATAACAAAATAATTAACATCCGCATGACAAAGAGTTAAATTTAATCGAATAATTATTGAAGATTTGTAAAAAATATGAGTTACGGATTGAAATAGTATTTTCGTAGACAATTGAAATTCTATTACTTCTCTAATTAAAAAATTAATTAAGTACGATTAGTGTAATAAAAACCAGTAGAATAAAAACTCGTGAAAAAATGACTGAACAACGTGGTGTTCGTTCTAGATCAGAAGATCCTGTAATATCATCGAATATGAATACGAATTCAACCGGAATGAAGTCTTTTCAAGCAATGAACGAACGGGCAGTTGAGGACATGACACTGAATTTCTTCTACCGACCCCACACCATTACACTTCTCCTATGCTCGATATTTGCTGCAATGTATTTCGCTTTTATTAGGTGAGAACTCTTTAACATCGATTTTTTTTTTGATATTTTCGCAGTCTCATTATTGCATAATTTTCATTGTTTCTCCTTCTCTGCGCGTATATGCAAAGAAAAAACGTTCTGTAAACAAGTCCACGTGCTTTATATGTAATAATTACATATTAAATGATATTTTTTATCAATGAAATGTGGAAGTGTTGAAGATTATTTCAAGATAAAAGCACAAATTTGGTTTTCTTTTTTCTTCCGTTGATTAATTTCTTACATGATAAATCCAATGACATTGACTTCTGACTGATAACAACCCTACAAACTTACTAATCAAAAACTTAATTCGTAATCATTCAAATTTCAGAAATGAAAGCAAGATTGAAGACAACATTTGGGCAGGCATTGTTTGTGTGATTTTCTTCTTTTGTGTCGTGTCAGTGCTTACATTTCCGAATGGTCCATTCACCAGACCTCATCCGGCAATCTGGCGAATGATCTTCGGTATGTCAGTGCTGTATCTGATGTTTTTACTCTTTCTCATGTTTCAAAACTACTCAACAATTATGGGAGTGTTTTACTGGTTTTATCCTGATCTTCGTGACTTTCACATAAATATGGATAAAGAGTATGGTGTTAACTGTTCCGACATCACTTGGAAGAAGTTTTACGAGCATGTTGACGTGTTTGCTCTCGCGCATTTCCTTGGTTGGACATTTAAAGGAATCCTCATTCGACATAGCGGCATTTTGTGGTGCATTTCAATTATGTGGGAGATAACTGAAGTACAATTTGCTCATTTGTTGCCAAACTTCATTGAATGCTGGTGGGATGCTCTCATACTTGACGTATTGCTTTGCAATGGTCTTGGAATTTGGGTTGGATTAAAGATTTGTAAAATTATGGAGATGCGCGAGTACAAATGGGTTGGGATTCGCGATATCTCAACAACGTCTGGAAAGCTTAAACGAGCGGTTTTGCAATTTACTCCCGAATCATGGACGGCAGTTCGCTGGATGGATCCGAAATGCACGTACATGAGATTCTTAGCCGTTTGTCAGCTTGTAATCTTTTGGCAAGTGACTGAACTTAACACATTCTTCCTCAAACATATCTTCGAAATGCCACCGGCACATCCAATTGTTATTATTCGTCTTGTGCTTATCGGTTTGTTTACAGCACCGTCAGTTAGGTGAGTTAATTTGACTCTTTGTTGAAAATGTAATATAAAGAATCGTGTCATTTACAGACAATATTATATTTATGCAACGGACACTTCATGCAAACGAATGGGAACACAATGTTGGGTTTATTGTGCTATCATGTTCTGCGAAGGCATTTTATGCATAAAGAATGGCAAAGAACTTTTCAGCCAAACACATACAGCTAAAGTCATTCAATGGCTGTTGATACAAGCAGTTCTCTCTATCATCTTCGTATCAGGTTGTGTCTTGTGGCACAAATATTTCCAGGTTTGTTAACTCATGAAACTCTTTACATTTTCATTGACTAAAAATTTGCTTTTGTAATTTTTCTTTTAAGAAGCCGAAACAACAAGGATTCGATGAATCACCAAAGAAGAAAAAATCAAGCTGAATTTCATACGATAAAATAATAACTTTAGTTTGAATTCGATTATTTGACTCAAGAAACAAATCAACATAAGCTGCTTCTTACTATTTATCATGTGCGGTTCAAATCTCACGCTGTGATTTCTTCAAATTTCACAAGACTCGCTTTTATTAAATAAATAATATTTCTCTTGAATAAAACACGTTTTTACTCATCATCAAACTCATCATGTTGATACTGTTGTAATTAATTAGAATGAGTTGTGGTTTTAAATTAAAAGAAAAACAATTCAAGCCAAAGTTGTAGGAATTTCTTTTAGATGTGAACATTTTGCCATTTTATAAAGAAATTGTTAGTTTTTTTTTAAATTAATTTCAATAAGTAGAAAGAACAAATAAAAATGAAGAAGAAGACGATATGAAAATGTGATGGAAATAAAATAAAGAAAAATCCATGAAACTTTAATTTTTTTAATTTATTTATTTCATAACTTTTGTTTTTTATTTCAAACAAACTCAGAATTAATTTTTTTTCGTAAATTTTCTGCTGTTTGTTTTGTTTTTGACATTCACAACGTCGTAGAAATTCGATCCGATCTTCTTGACTTTCTGTTGTCGTTCCATAGCTCGTCGCTGCTTTGCTGTGACTTTTTTCACAACTTTAGGCGCTGCAACGTCTTCAACTTCAAAGAATCCACTTGTGGTTTTTTGTTTCTTTTTCTCTGGTGTTGCAGTTGTTTTAATTTTTGTTCCAGCACTTTTGTGAACAACTTTTTGTGCATCTTCATCGTACTCGTCTTCAGAATAGAAATCGCTGATTCCTGAAGATTCTTCGTCATCATCTTTAACCTTCTTTAGTTTCTTCTTCTCCGCCACAAGTTTTTTCTGCTCTTCGAATCTCTCGATTTCCTCTGGATCGAGTTCTTTAATGTCTTCAGGATCGAATTCCAAATTAACGCGAATCTTTCGGAAATCTTGTAATTGTTGAAGTTCACGACCTTTAATCACTGATTCAGAAATTGCTGTTGCAACACTTTTTGTTTCAGCATCTTCTGTCACACTTGATTCTTCAGTCACTTTATCACTTCTTTCCAGTCTTGATTTGGGAATTTCAAAACCTTCTGGAGGAACATAAAATGGAAGTTTTCCTCGTTGCCAGTCGTTCAAAACCATCTTTGCAGTTGTGTTTATATCCGGCTCAGCTCCTTTCAATAATTTTCCCATTTTCTTTGCAAGTTGTTCAAGAAATTCAATATGAGTTGCAAATTCATGAATATTATAAGTTTTAACGAGATATTCTCGTCGAACTCTCTTCAAAACTTCCTCAACATAATCTTCAGGATTTGTTACAAGTTCAACTCTCACGACACCTTTCAGAACTTTTTCCGCGTCGGTCTCAGCTGAAGGATAAACAACACCCGGACAATCAATCAAGAAAATTCTCTTCATTAATGTTATGTATTGCCAAACTTTCGTTTCTCCAGCAATCGGCGCAACATTGCACACTTTTTTACTTCGCAATGCATTAATGATTGAAGACTTGCCAACATTTGGGTATCCAATAAATCCAACACTGATTTGCTTCTTATCCACGTGAAGTTTTCCAATCTGTCTCAATAAGTTAATTAAAGCACCTTTTCCAAACGGATGAGTCATCGAGGCATGAAAAGCAATTGTAGGATATTCAGATGAAAGAATTGCAACCCAACGTTGTGTCACCCAGATTGGCACTAAATCGACTTTGTTTAAGATGAAGAATAAATGTTTGTGTTTCTTTTCTTTTCTTAAAAACTCTTCAATGTATTTCGATCTTGTGCCCATTGGATCTCTTGCATCAAGGACTTGAAGTAGCACATCAGCTGAATCAACGACTTTATGAAGTTCATTCCAAATTCGTTTGCTTTGTCCAGCAGCAAAAACCCAATCGCGAGGTTGAGCTTTGACACCGTCGTCATCTCTAACCAAATCGTGATCTTTCTCGTTGCTATATTTCTCTGTTAATTCTTCTGCCATTCGTGTCATATCTGCAAGATCCTTGACTTTCAAATTGGGACGTTTTCTTTGTTTCTTTGGACCAAATGTTGTGTCAAATGATTCAGTTTCCAGTAGATGAACTCTCGCGTATTTTGCACTTTCATTGAGAAGTGTAATTGGTAAGTTTGTTGGTTTCATGACAACTTGGTAAGGATCTTTCATTACTTTTCCCATTTCATCTTGGAACTTTTGAAGAGCCGATTGTGAGATGACTCGAGAATTGCCAAACCATTTGGGACTTGGCTCGACACGTGAAACTGTTCCAGATGACAACCATCCTTGAAACGGTGCAGGCGTGATAATCTTTCCTTGTCGGTTTCTTTTTGCTTTAAAATTTCGGTACATTTGAAGACGTTTGATTGTTGCTTTTGTACGAGGAGCAGCAACACCTTTCAATCTTTCTGTTGATCTTTCAGGATTCATCGAATGTCCCGATTTATTCATGGTTCCTTGTTTTCTCGGAGGACCCGAGCGTGAACTTACTTTCGGCATGATGTCTAAGCTAAAAAGGATGTAAATTTATTGATAATATAAAGTTTCACTTTCTTTTAAGAGTGTAAATAAATAAAAGAAAATGTTAAATCCAACTCACATGTTATTTTTATAAAAATAATAGAAATAATATTTTTTTCACAATTCTCGACTCTATCTGCATACAACTAAGGCAGCAAATTGAGCAAACTTTCATTTTTAGGGGTACGAAGAAAATAATCAAGTATGCCTTGGAAATAAGAAACCCCAATGCTGGTAAAACAATCAGCGAATTTGATATTAAACATTGTCAAGGAGCCTACTCAGCAATTTGATACAACTGTATTACTATTGTTTTCAATTCATACTTACACTATTAAAAAACTCGTGATATATTACCGAAATTTTCTAGGTAATTTTCAATTTAGAAGGTAAATCCCGGGAGTTTTAGCCCCTAACACGATCAGTTGTGAGTTGGAATCACCACGAAAATTCATTACAAAAATCGCTCCAAAAGAATTTAAAAATTTATCAATATTTCATTTGCTTTCAAGAATAATTAATGTTAAAAAACTGTTGCTTTGCCTTGCGTTTGATAATTAAAGTACAATTAATATTTTCAAGGTAAGTTAAACACATTGAAAGAAAGGAAAATTTACAAATGTCTTGCACAATTAAAATGCAGAAAAATTTCTCCTCGCCCCAGTTGTTTTCTTCTTTTATTCATTAATTAAACATTCCTATTCGATTGCTTAATCATTTCCTAAGATGGTACTTGCTCAATAAAAAGACAAAAAACTAAAATAAAGTGACGGTCATTTAGCTCTTGAGTTCGATGAAACTTCGTGCAATTCTTGTCGCCTACTTTCACCCCATTTGAATAGTGGTTCACTTGTACTGCCTTTATTTGCTGAATAGACATAAAATTCATTCAAATTCGTCGCGTGTTTGTTTAAATAACGTTTCTCAACTGCAACTTCTTGTTTTCCTTTAATTTGCGAAACTTTTTAGCCGTCAACAGGCACACAAAATGATTTGTTGAATTTGCAACATTCATTATCATCTAATTTCCACATCACCATCGCCAAAGTGTCTCTCGAAAAGAACCAAAAATTGCATTGGTCCACGCGGGTCATCAAAATGGAACGAACTCCTTCAGATGAAGCGCTCACTGAGACCATTAAAACTCTCATCATTTCTCGTAAATGTCCAATGACCATCGCACAAGTGAAGCATGATTACGAAGAACTCGAAGGCAAGAACATTCCAGAATTAAAGATTAAATCTCTAATGAGATTCAGTTCCACCTTTCACATGATAAAACCGGAAAATGGTGAAGAACGCTTTGATATTCGTTACGATGCTCGAGCTCGAATGATGAGAGGACAAAAGCCAATAAAAAAGTTCAATCCAGCAATGATGAAAAGTCCAGCAGTTCCTAGAACACGTTACACCATCACAGTGAATAACAACAATGCTTATCAGAAGAATTTGAACGGCAATGGATCGATGGATGTTCGCCAGAAGCTCTTGCGAAATCCACAACCAATGCCGAAGCTTACAATGCCGTTATCTGAAAGATTAAAACGACGTGGTGAACTCAGTCCCGAAGATATTGAAGCAGCAAATGTTGTCAAAGTTCCTGACACATGGTTCATGACAGCAGGAGGAAGTTATGAGAAATTGCTTAACTATTGTCAGAATAATAATTTTGATCCACCTGAATTGAAATTTCTCGACAATCCACTTGCAAAAGGAAGCTTCAAATGTCAAGTGATGATCAATGGCGTTGTTTACACATCGTACAAGGATTTCTTCCAATCACAACAAGAAGCTCAAGAAGCATGTTGCAAAATTGCAGTTCAAGAGCTTAAACGTGAAGAAGAATTGTCACAAAACCCTCTCGATATCTCGAATGATCATGAAATTATGAAGAAAATTTGGCAGATGATTCGAAGCTCAATTGGTGGAGTTTTCATCAAGCATGTGGCTAATCTTTATATAGACACTTACAAATTGTCACTTCCAGAAAACTGGCATGAAATGTCATTGCAATATGAAGGAAATTTATTCTCATTTGAGACAAATGCTTTCAATGAGCCAATCATTTTTGCAAAACCAGAAGCAGACACGCAGAATGAATCAACAAAAACAATTTCCACTAATCAAAAGATCGCAAAACTCGAATTTCCATGGAATGAAAAGCTGTGGAATGTTTTTGTAACAAGCGCATTTAGTACGAACGACATTTGCGGACGTTTGATTGGTGAGAAATATAGCGACGCACTTGACAAGCTACTGACCGATATAGAGATTGCAATGATGTCACACAAGGAGCGTCCGAAGGAGATAAAGCTCAGTCATATTTACCTCACAGCTATTGCTGAGTGTTATCATCGCATAAAGGTCGTAGAGATTAATGAACGACAAGCTTATTGCATTTGTATTGACAATGGCGATTACGAATGGATTTCATTTGATGATATTTATTCATGTAACTCTGAATTTCTTACTGTTGCACCACAAGCATTCAAGCTGTCATTGTTTGGATTGGAAGAGTTTGAAAAGGATCCAAATGTCTCTCAACAGCCTTTGTTTCAACCTTTAGTCTTCAAAAGTTTAGTTGGTGAGATAATGACGGAAAAGAATGTTTGGGATAAATCATCAACATCATCATCATCAGCAATTCCAATGATTCTTTATGACACGTCGACTGATGAAGACATTAATTTGAATGAAACTTTAATGAATACGATTTTGCGATCGATTCCAATACCAACATTACATCAGAAAGAAAGTAATCAAGTGATCGTGACAAGTATTGGTGATGACGCAATTTACTGTCAACTTGTTAAGTCGTCGATTTACATTCAGCAACTAATCAGCGATATTCCGAAAAATGATCTAAAGAAACATCGTGGATTCTACTTAGACAAGGCTGATAAGAAGAAAATCTATTTAGTCAGTGATGTGAAAGGCAAAAACTGGTTCCGTGCCCGTTTGGAGCGATTCTCGGATGACCAGGATCAGTTGATGTACTACATTGATCACGGCTACAAAGCAACAGTGAAGATTGAGAATATTTACCGACTCGACAAACTCTCAATTGTTTTATTTTCTTATCCACCGCAAGTTTTGAAGTTTGGATTGTTTAATGTCCAAATAACGAGCGATGTTAAGAAGCGATTGATGGCTTTATTGCCAAGTCGACGACAAGCTTTGGTGAGATTTTTACTTCCTTTAACTTTTGATCTTAAAAACTGATCAAAATTTTTAATTTTCTGACAGGTTAAAGTCGTCACAATGGGCAATGGAGGTTTGCCATTAGTTCATTTATTCACTTACATTTGCCATCAAGATGAAACAATCATGATAAAGATTAACGACCAGTTTGCCACCAGTTTGGGGACTGAATTGCATAGCTTCAGGTTTGTTTTTCTCTTTTAATATTTAGATTAATTTCTTATTAATTCTTCTTAACAGTCCTAACGATCCTCTCATTAAACTCGAACAACGAAGATTGAAGAATAACGGCGAGTTTATTAAAATTCACGTCATTCTCGTGTCGAGTCCTCAGAATTTTGTTATTCAATTGCAAGATGATATTGTTGAACTTAACAATATTTTAAATGAAATGCAATTGTTTTGCAATGGCAGCGATAAATTTAAGTCACTTGAAGACATTAAGAAAGGTGAATGTTATGCTGTTTACGACGAGGACACTCGAAAATGGGTTCGGTAAGTCATAAAATTTTATTTTTGATGATTTAATTTGATTAAAATATTTTTTTCGCAGAGCTTCAGCAGAGAATGTCATTAATGCCGACTTTATTCACTGCCTTTGCTTCGATTCAGGAAATTTTAAGACTTTGTCACTCGACAAAATGCGAACGTTGCCAAATCAATTTCGTAAAATGCCAAAGCTCGCCTTGAAGGCAAAGCTCTTCGGTGAGTTGTTCAACTTTTATTATAAATTTCTTTTTAAATTATTTCTGATGAAATAAATCGACAGGCGTAAAACCAAAGCACAAGGATTTCACGCCCGATGATGCCATTCACTTCAAAGTAATGACTGAGAACAAAACGTTCCCGGCTGTAATCAAAAACATCACAAGCGATCGCTTTGATCAAGAACTTTATGAGATCGTCCTCTTCGGTAAGGATGAGAAAATTCATGAAACTCTCGTTAAAGAAAATCGCGCTCTTCCTATTTAAAACTTTAACTCTAATTAAACTTTTCATTATAAAATTCCTCAATCGATTCCAAGTTATCTAAAAATATTTAAACTTTACTTCACACATATCTACTTGGCAGATATAAAAACTCGAGAAAATATGAGAAAATACGCAATATTTAAATTAATGATTTAAAGCAAAAGAAAAAACAAATCTCAAGATATGCAAAAATGCGTAAAATGATATTCGAATGATTTTAAACATAAACTTCTAATTATTTAAACATTTATTCATCCATACATGCAACTAATTTATAAATTACACAACACCGTTAAAAACGGAGCAAATTATTTATTCATTATTTGACATAATTTTTATTTTCTGTAATTTTTCTTTAAATAATGTTACCTACTTGGTTTGTGGCACAACAATGAATGTAAATCCACGCTAAAATTGCTTTCTAAAATAAAATGATTGAATGAATGAAAAGACTGTGCCAGTGTTGCAAGAAAAGAGAATTTCTGTTAATATTTTTGGCCTTAGTTAAAGATTAGTTTAAATATATTTAATTAAACTTTACAATTTGTATTGTTGTTAAGAATTTAAATTTTAATTAATGAAGCATCACGTTATAAAATTGGAACTTTGGAATTTGCAAGATTTTTTATCATTTTAATTTTATTTAATTTGTGCTTTTGCAAGAGTGACAACATTTGCACGCTTCGAGGTTAAACGTGTTCAATTGATAAAAGAAAGAAATATTTATGAATAAAAATTGATAACCGACAAAGTCCGATTGCCTTCCTTTGCATGCAATGTCAACACTCATAAAAATATTATTCAGAAAATTAATTTCTTTTTAAACTTCCTCTTCTTTTATTTTAATTAATGAAAGATCAGAAATTTATTTTTCTCTAATTTATAAAAACTCAATAAAAATACTAAACGAAAGTACCTAATTGTAATCAGAAAGTGATAAGAAAATCAAAATATTTTATACCCGAATTAAACTCTAAGAAACATAATCAATGATGATGCCTAAATAGATGATCGTGTTGTGATAAGATATTAAAAGTTCACGAAATATTTTAAATAAAAAGTGACTAAAACATTTAAAAAACTTTGGCTCTAGTGGCGTTTGAAACAAATCATTTGAAATATGACTAAATAAAAATTATAAACATCAATGAAATGATTTGATGTAAAATTTTATTTATACATGTAGAAAATAACGAAAGAAATCACTTGTACTCAAATTTGTACACTCTGTAATCGAATCCGAAAGAAGAAATTAAAAATAATAATAAAGAAATGGGAGAAATAATAATAACAAAACACGAATAAGAAAATATTTTATTTTGCATGACGTATGTAAGTATAATGCGAGGCAAAAGTCGAGCAAGATTTAGAAATGTAACCTAAGGAACTTTGGGAAAATGATTTGTATGTTTCATTTAATTTAATAATAATAAAGAAAGCGAAGTAGGTTCAAGAAGGCATCAGCTTGATCGTCATAAGTTATAATTTTACTTACATCAGACTTCGTTTGCAAATTAACAAAATGTTTTTTCTGTTGTGGCAGGGAGAAAGATTAATGACTAATACTCAACGTCTTCTTTATCCTCTCTTCGACCTTTGATCAGCAGCATTTTCAGGTAATTTCGTTTTGTTTACTCATGTTTGAACCTTAGACTGATCAATCATAAAATATTTTCCTTAAAGTCGTTAAACATTTTAAAAATTAAAAATTAAGTTTTAAATTCAAATACGCAGCTAACTTCGTGTTTATAATGTTCAGGGTCTCACGTGGGCAGATGTCGTTTGATCAACATCGAGGGTTCATTAATATATGTTGGATATATGTTAAATATCCTTGATACCTCACTTTTCACCGTTACTTCCTGTTTACCTTTCAGTCTTGTTGATTTCGTTACTGGACAAAACATAACAAATGAAAATTGAAATTTAAACTGATAATTTGGATAAATAAAGTAAGAAAAGTTAAATATTTATATAAAAGGAGTAAGAAAGTGAATTAAATCATAGAGATTCGATGTAAAGTGTGAGTAAATTTCTCATTAATCATGGTTGAATGGTGACTTTGCACCGGTGATAAGATAAAACTTCGTGACTTGTGTGACCGAAAGCGAAAATATATTTTTATGTCGATGTTTACGAAATTAAAGAACTTGGGAGTTCAGAATAGATTATAAGTCGTGAAATATTAAACCAGTTAGAATATTCCCGGTGGGTGATTGATAAACCAAAATATACACGAAACTTGACGAAATAAATCCTTCAATTTCATAAGAATTCGCAATCAAGCTCATGAAAATGTCAACTTAACTAAATTTAACTCGATTTTTGACTTCTTAACTTTCATTCATCATTTATGTATGTTTTATTAATACTCACTACACCCGCATAATATCACAATATAAACACACTCATCACAGGCTGAGCGAGAGGTTAAAGTACAAGATAAGATTTGTAAAAAGTAAGTAAGTAAGTAAGTAAGCAAGCAAGCAAGCAAGCAAAACAAGTGAGAATAAGAATCTTGTCAGACATTCAATCTCTCGTAAGAAATTTCATTTTTAAGAGCGAAGCTTCTAAGGTTTAGCTCCTCAGTTCTACGCGAGACATCGTCGAAGACAGTTAAAAATAAAGTTTAATTAAAAATTATAATTGCAAGGAAGAAATTTTTAAATTAAATGTTTGTGAAGTTAAAGTTTAATAAATATTTAAATTACATTCAGCAGACTTCAATAAATTGAAGAGAACACAAAAAGAAGAAAATATATTTAATTAAAGTGAATACAAACTGAACAAGAAAGAGTAATTAAAATAAATTTGTGAAGAAGGAAAAATATAAGAAAATTGTGAGAAAATTTAAAGAAATGCCATCAGCAAAGCGACCGAATTTCTTCGGCGACGGTCCATGGTTGGGTCGAAGTGGAAGCAGTGGAAATATAATGATTGCGAAGCCAATGATTAATTCACTTAGTTACGCCAAAACTGCTCCAAATTCTCCACTTCATTCACCAACATCAAAGTCGCCACCAAGTTTAGCTCCATCAGCAATCGCACATCATTCACAACTTAAGCGACATTTTTCGAGCACATTCATGCTGATACCTGAAGATAGTGAACTACGTGAGATTAATGATGCAAAATCACGTCGAATGGCTAACGGCGGAACTCACATTCATGCCAATACACGAAATGAAAAATATCCGGTTTCAAAATTGCATATAATCTTGCGTTTGATTTTATGGTGGCCTCTACTCATTATCAGTGTATGTCAACGATTTATCAATTTCATGATGGAAAAAGTTTGGAATTTCAAATCGACTCCGACATTCTGGTTTTCGGCATTTTTGTGGCTTTTTTGGAAATTAATTTCATATCCACTTGCGATTGTTAAGCACATTTTGATCATTTTACATACACCGGCATTCGAGAGACGTCGTAAGAAGCGAACAATTCTGATTTCGGGTGGAAGTACATTGCAAGCATTGCATTTAGCGAGAAATTTCCATTCGGCTGGTGCTCGTGTTGTTGCTTTTGAGTTTGAAGGATTGTTTGCACTTGCTCGCTTCTCGACAGCTGTCGATAAATTCTATACAATTCCACGAACGGGTCAAGAGATTGCAAACGATTACATAAACGCACTTATTGATATTGTTGAGAAAGAAAAGCCATCGTTATACATTCCGGTGTCAGCAACATCGCCAGCATATTTCGATTCACTTGCTAAACCTCATATGGAACTTGCCGGATGTCAAAAAGTTTTCTGTCCTGGCGCACAAGAAGTGTCGATCCTTGATGACATCGGTCATGTGTTGAGAAAATGTGAAAGTCGAAATATTCCAGTGCCACCTTATCGTGTCTTAAACAACAAGGAAGACTTGTATCGACTCTACGATTCTGGATTTATGAACAACTTCCGAAATGTTCTCGTTGCGACTGGCATGAATGGAATTATCGATCGTCAGAAACTTATTTTACCAGCAAACAAACGCGATTTGCGTATGCCTTTTGAGATCAGTGAAGAGAAGCAATGGATTGTACTTCGCGACGTTCCGGGTAAACATTTCGTCACATGCACAACTGTTAAAGACTCGAAAGTTATTGCAAACGTCACATGTGCAATTCAATCAGAGACAAGAAATCTCATTCCTGAAGAAAACCCCGAAATTGAAAAATGGTTGAATGAATTCTTTGAGAAAGTTCGACTTATGAGAAGCCTTAACGGTCATATGAGTTTCCGGTTTGTGAAAGCAGAATCAAATGGGAATTTATTGACACTTGGGGCACGTGTTGGTGTCACTCTGTCTTATCTCTGTTATACTGGCGTTCAACCTAGAGTAGTTGCGAAGCCATGTCCGCATTTTGAGAGAAGAAACTCGGGTCCAATGGTGCAACCGAAGCACTTCCTTCCGGAGACGCTTGCACAAACTATCAAGAATCCAACAGTGAAATCATTCGAACAACTTGTTGGAACTGTGCTTAACAAACGTGAAGCGCTTTTCGCTTTCAATGATCCTTTGCCCTACATTGCTTTCTACCACTTCCAATTGCCACTTCAGAAAGTATCGAACTTCCTGAAACGTTACAGCTCAAAGCACAGACATGGTGGACTTTAAATCGCTGCCTGCCCTTGAGACAGTTCAAAATAATGAACAACAAAAGGCAGTTTTCGATTCTTGATAAGAATGTCAAATCTGTGAAGCTCAACAACGCACAAAAGCGTTCTGATGATGTGAATTGAAATGGAAACTTTGCACCCTTCAAACATACAATTGCGGTATCAATAAATGAGTAACTTTTAACATACTTTTTGCTCCCTTTCGACACAAATGTGGACTTTGAAGTTTCATTCATTCATTTCAATATGTTTGTATTTATTGAAACTTAATCTTTTTGGATTTTAAAATCATTTAAAATTTCATAAAAGTTTTAATTTAATTGTTGGAATATTTCATCTTTTTTTCCACTCATTTTGAATTCAACGTTTATTAATTATTGATCTGAAAATTGAAGGGATTAATTAGTGAATTGAGTAGTAAATTATTTAAAAAGAAAACAGTGATCTGAAAGAAGAATTCAAATTGAAATATTTCCAACCTTTTTTTTGCTATTTTCGGAATTTCTAAATTTTTATCAATTTCATCTCGAATAAAATTTGATTAAAAATTAACTTTTACCGCATAAATGATAAATTAATAATTTAAGAAAGCTTCATGACATCATCTTAACGTTCTTCAGGAGAGAGATATTTAGACTTATTAATGATACTCTAATCTTAAGTTTTATGTATTTTAATCACATAATTTTATTGTTCTTATTCTTAAAAAACGATTTGCGAATACTTTTGTATGCTTTATAGTTGAATTTGTTTGATTCAACAAAATAATTAATTATTAAGTTAACAACTTAAAGCATTAATCAAAGAAATAAAAAAGTAAAGAAAGAAAGAAATAAATAAAAAGTAAAAAAAAATTCAGGTCAAAGTGTTGATTGCATTTAATCTCTTTGGTGGTGTCTGATGAATGACGGAAAGGAAATTCAGAGACTTATTTAACTTTTGATTATTTGAGAACTTGACATTGAACATCACAGCCATAATCAATCTTAAAGGTCCTATTGACAGTCGTACCCGACTTTTACGAGCAAATGTTTGATGTGAGAGGTCTTTTTAAATATTTACATTTTACGACTCTTCTCCTGTTTGCATATTGTATTTAATTTTAAGCAATTTAATAATTTTATGTGAAGTTGATAAAAGGATTTTATAAGCGATTATTTTACTGGTTAAAATAATAAATCATGGTATAATGATGAAAGCAAATAAAAAATTACAAAACACACTTTTCACTCGTGTTATCAATTGAGCTACGATAATTTTGCCCTCAAAGCTTGACGTTGTCACCGATACACTGAGATTCACCGGCTTGTTGATTTTTGATTTTGTTATCAAAAAAAAAGTTTGTGTCACTGATGATAAGAAAAACTGGAGCTGGTAACCGACATTTGGCTTTTGTTTATGACGAGAACGAGCCTTCGAAAGGCCCAAACATAAATTTACTAAGCTGATAATTTTGCTATTTAATGAATGATGGAATTATTTCATTGGATAGTCGATTGCAATTCAAAACAGAAAAGTGAAAACAAAATTTTATTCTCATCCTTTTAATTCAAAATCAATTTAGTAACACCACGAGTGAAGAAATTCTCAAAGCCATAAGACAAGCGACAGGTTGATTTCAAATGAAAAATGCGAATTCTATTTTTGGGTGTTGTTTTTCGGCGCGCGCTTATCAAGTCAAAGGCAAGAAAAATAATATGAAGAAAACACCGAGCATGAGTCTGGAGAGTGACTGAACTCTAATCTCGTTTTACTTGGAGTTGTTTTCTACTGTTCGTTCCGGCACATTTGTTTAACGGATTTAATCGAAAAAGTTTCTTTCGCTCGCTCGCTTCACAACTACGTGTGATCGAACTTTGAACGACTAGAAGCTTTTTTTTTCTTGATATTTATGCAAGTATTTATGCGTGATGAATCTAAGGAGACAAAACTTGAATGACAAAAAAGTGACATTCTTTTTATTTCAATAAATATTGCTGATTAAACCCATGTCTGGGTTGGGCCATGCACATAGTTGAGAAATCACACACATATTAAGTGACTTATGAATTGACTCAATGTTCAAATTCAACCGAATTTCGCCTTCATATTGGACTATCAAAACTGTCCTTGGCATGAGAAGCTTAGTAACCTCAAGAAGAGACGCTGATAATAATTTGCTTTCACTAGCACAATTTGATCACGTGGAAATGTGGACATTTATAAAAAATTATTAAATAATTATGATGTAAACAAACGAGGAATATCAGACGTGACTTCGTTCGCATTTTGCCGTTTAAAGACGTGGACTTTTCACCGTGAACAAGGCTAAGCGCCAGACGAGGAAAACGACATGTAATGGCTCAAAGTGCACTGAATAAATCACTTCAAACATGCACCGTAAACTAGACTTAGATATTTACTAATGCATTGTAAACACATTACAGTCTATCAATTTGTTTTCAATTGTAATAAAATGTATGATCAGAAGGGAATCCAAGGGAAGATGTTGATTTGATTTATCCAAAAAGATAAAAGATGACTAACAAGAAGGGAAGTTGTAAGCAAATATTTAACATTAGGTAATTAGATAATTTAACATCATAGACAATCATTTAAATTAATATCTTATCAAACATATAATGAAATATGTTAATTGTTTTAAATCAGAGGTTGGAAAGTTTCGGGGATTATCAATATGAAGTCAATCTTTATGTTTGACAGTGTCAGTCGCAAGGTAATCTGAAAACAGGAAAATTATGAATTAAGTTAAATCTTTCTTCAAGGGCCAAATTTTTTATCTTTTCTGATTAAAGTTTTGAATGATTTTAAAATAAAATAGTTGCTAACCTTGATTGAAAATGAGTTTGTTAGTCGTTGCTTTTATGAATGTTTTAAAAATCGATTGAAATCTTAAAATTTATCTTAATTAAGTATCTATTCAGAATTCTTAAGAAAAATTTTGTTCAAATAGATTTGAAGAAACACTTTTTATTCATTTTTTCAATTAACTTCTCACTGGATGATGCAGGTGCCTACAATGTCGATTTGTTTGACAAAATAACAACAATGTTGTCATTTTATTTGGAAAAGTTCATGAAGGTGACTCAATTATAAAATAAGGAAAAAAAATTGAGCGAATGCTTCTTCTTTTTATTCAAGTGTTTGAGAAGTGTTTTAATTAAATAAATGTGAATGACGAAATTGTCAACAGCAAGGCACGTGGTAGATAAAGAAAGGATGACTTTGTATTAATATTTCGGGATTAAACGCTTTCAAGTTTTTTCAGGTTATTTTTAATTTGATAAGAAAGCTTTGCTGATTTGAAGGATGTAAAACAGTAAAAGTATTGCAAAAAAACGTCAAAGATATTAAAAATAAAAATTTGTAAATTCTTCATTAAGTATGTAGGTGGCAAAGCTTTTAATCTTAGAAAATACCATTTTCACCATATGCGCCATGAGATGCCATTACAAGTCATTGATTCCTTAAAACAGATAAATAAATTATATCTAACCGCTTTAAACATGATCGACGTGACAAAAACACAAAACAAAACAATTCTTATCGTTATCAATCAAGTATTATTACAGAATATTTTAATTCCTTTAATCTCCAGCCTTGAGACTTCTTTCAATTCAACACCTTTGTGTTGTTTGTTTCCATAAATAGATTTATGAAGATCTGATTTCGGTAATCTTACGCATTATTTGTTAATTAAATTACATCATAGCAGATCATTAATTAATAACGGAAGAGATTGATCAAGGACATTTATAGATTTAGCTAAAATAATTAAGAAGAAGGAAGAATTGAATGAATGTGACATTAAATGTCATTGAAATTGTAAAGACAGCAAGCGCCACAAGTATCGTGACATTCCTTTATCAACGAAACTTCAACATTGTATGCTAATTGCACATCTCTCGACTTGAGCTTTTTGCTATAAACCATCAATTATATTTAATGTAGCGTTTCATAAAAGAAAGAAGAAGATCAACAAAACTGCTTTTAGATTAATTAACATACGTGACGTTGTTCATGTTTGTTGCTACTCTAAAGTTTTAAAAGTTTCGGACATTTTTGAGACAAATTCTGATACAATAAACACATTAATTATAAAAGTAGAGCAATAAACAATAAATATCGGTTTAAGTAATGTCGAAATTCATTTCTTATCTTTTATTATTACGTTTCACAATATTTAAAAAATTAGTTTTTGCTGTTCATGATGGAATTAAATTTTGCACTTCCTTGAGTCTAATCAATATTTATTCTTCAGACATCACGTACATAGCACGCTTGCTTCTGTTGGGTTTTGAAAAGTTCACTTTTCTCTTACGTGATCTACGGTCAGTTTCAGACGCATCGCGCTTATTGCGTGTTCCAGTTACTATGAACAGACACTGTCTGTACTTTGGCTCAGACTTTGACAAATTTATGATCACGAAATTAGACAGAAAACAAGGTTTCAAAGTTTCAATTAAAAATGGAAACAAATCCGCTTCAAACTCGTCACAAAATCCGAACATAGACTGGAACGTTCACGGTTCAAAGATTGTCACTAAAATAATGAATAAACACGAAAACAAATTTTTCATAGTGGAATTTTTTCTTTGTCAGTTGAAGGAATGCATAAATATGAATGAAATAAGCTGAAATTAATTTTGAGAAGACGCATAATGTGTTATCGATTCAAGGGTTTCGAAAGAATTGATGACTGTCGATGGTTCTTGTTGTTTATTTCCGGTGACTTGTCAGTCAAAGCCACAGGCTTAAATAAGAAAATATTTTCGCAACTCTCTCGAGTATTATGTACTGAATTTATGTATTTCGTTTTTAAGGTTCGACTTGGAATAAAATTATTCTTTCCACAGGGTTGATTTGTACACAAATTATAAAAAAAGGCGTAAGCTTTTTAAGCTTAAATCGATATCGAGCTTTACTATTTCCAGCCCTGACTCTCCCTGCGCTGACATCGATATCAAATTGAAACTTGTGTTGAATCCACAACAACTGCCTTTAGATATTTCACTGAACTCCTTTTAACTCATTTTTGCTTTGTCATTGAAACTGTTTAAATACTTTCACTTGGGAGCACTTTCACTCACACTGACGTCACCTAAAAATAGCTGCTATGGAATTAGATAATATTTTATCGAAGGTGTCTGCTTATTGAAGAGAAAAAAAATAATTACGGTAAAGAGAAAATATTTATAAATCCGTGAAAAATGGTTTCATTGAATTCTTTTGCAGTTTTTTGAAGGGATAAATATTTATTGGGGCTGATGTTTCAGTTATTCAATCGACTTTGAGTGCAACAGTAGAATTTTTGGATATTCTTTGTTGGTGGAATTTAAAAGTTGTCTGAATAGTTTGGAAAAAAGTTAAAGAAGAGTTAATTTGAATATTAATTAAATTTCCTGGTCAAAGCTTAAACTTTAAGCAATGGAACGACGGAGGATTAATTGGGGATCTCTTGCTTACAATTTGCGCACCAAGACTCGTCGTAATAAACTTTCAAGAAGTTCACCGAATCTAAGTGCAAGTTCAAGAACGCAATTTGATGATGATTTCGATAATGATGATTATGGTTTCATCACGAAACCACCCCCACCAGTTCCCGCACCTCCAATTCCGCCGATACCTTTGGAATTTCAGGACGAATACCAGCAGCGTTTGAACGAGCAGAGAAAGAAATTGTACTGGGAAAACATAAAACGCCAACTCATTGTTTACTACAGTCATCATCAGCAACATCATGAATCGAAGCACATTGAACGCATGTCAAGAAGACGAGGATCAAGTGAACATATAAACAACTTAGCCATGGAAACCACGAGCGTCGCCCCGAAGCAACTTTCATTAATTAAGCGCCAAAAAAACAAACAAAACCCCAGAGCAAAATCAGTTCCTGCTCAGTCATCGTTTGGATTAGATGACGATTGGATAAGCGAGAGGAATCGAAGGGAAAGTGAATATTTGGATCAAGTTTGTGAAGTGCAAGATTGTTGTGAGAGTTTCGAGGATTTTCAAGAAGAAGGAAGTAAAGATACGTTATCACCTTTGTGTGTAAAGTGTCTAGTGAGATATTACAATAATCGTCCAAGTAATACGAACAATCCAACCATGTCTCGTGTAAGTTCAACGATGGTTTAATTCCTTTGCGCACTTAGTCAAGAAGGAACTTTTAAAGTATTACAAAAATTGTGAATTTTAATCAAAGAAATCTGGGCCATCAACATTTGTTCTTATGCAACGAACAAAAGCCACCAGACGCAGACATTCTGCAGTCATTTTAAAGAAATTTTGAAAGTTTGTTCAACTTATCATGAAAATAGAATTTTGGAGCGAGAGAAGAACGGAAACGTTCATAAATTTAAGCGTTAGAACAGCAAGTAGCTACCATAAATCCCAAAGTTATATGCTTTCAACCCTAAAATACAATCGCGATATGGGAATACGAGAATGGAGCTGGAAATAAAACAATTTGTTGCCGGGGATTTCAATTCTTCCTTTTGTTTCATTCTCATTTCGATTACTTTGTTCACCTTTGTCGATGGATATCCAAAGTTAGAAATTGATATGTTAGTTTACAATAAAATATTGGAATTCACATTGTAGAAATATTTACATAATGTCTGCGATAAACCAGCAATTCAGTGAGACATGTCGCCATCACTTATGATGATGAACGGAAGACAAACAACACTGCAATTTCGAATGGTAAAGTTTTCAGTTGAAACGATGAAGTTTCTGGTTCATTAAAAGTCCATAATGAGGTGAATGAAGGTATTGATAGTTGTAGGCGAGTTCTGGTTTCGAATGCATGATAAAAGTCAGTTAAAACTTATTTCTTTTATGACATAGATTATGCTTTTCCCATCCCCATAAACTCAACTTTATTTATTCAAGCATAATTTTCCGATTGAAAAACTCGTTCGCCATACAAATCTATATCAATTAAATCTTATTTGGCACGATATTAGGCATAAGAAACTTTACAAATAACTGAGATTTAAATGTGAAAGTAAATGAAAGTTCTTTTAAGAAGACGGCACAAGACTTGCTCACTCTTTAGACTTAGACAGAACTTCCTGAATTAATATTCTATTAAAAGGAAATTCCAGTAGAATTAAATAAAATGAGTTATGAAGGCAATAAATTATTTTTTGACAGTCGTTTGCTTCTCTCCGTAGAGAAAGTTTTGCTTTATTCGAAATGAAAATATCGGTAAATTCATAAATATTCAGAATTTATAATCTCAAACTTTTCTATAACCACCCCCACTCACCCTCGAATCTACAGTTGTTGTCAACAGAATGAACATCGAAACTGAATTTGTTTTATGTCAACATTGGATTTTCTCATGAAATCTTCCGACAAAAATAGAAGTCATTTGAACATTTTTCAGCTTTGTTTTTGCTTAACAAGTGAAATGTCCCATTGGAAGAGATCGCAATAAATAAAAAAGTAAATACGATAAACAACAGAAACGAAGAAACGAAATCTTATGCAATAAAGCGCGATAAACGATTTTTTACTGCTTGTCTTTTTTTTTTATTTCGGGGTTTGAATGCTTTCGGGAGAATTTTGAAACATTTCCCATTTTCTTGGCTTTCTTTTGCTTTTACTAGGCCGCGACTTTCTTGTTGTCTGTGACAGTTGGTATCATGCGTGCATGAAACAATAATAAACGGTTTCCGTTTTTCTATTCATCCAGAGTTGAATCTTTGCGGTTTTCAAGGACTCATTTTCCCAAATATCTGTGAACATTATTAGATAGTTCAGATGACACTGATTACAAGTCTTGAACATGAAAAAGATGGAAAGGAAAAGTTGTCATAAATCAAGGAAATTTTACTTGGATACTTCACGTTTGTTTGCAAATATTTCCTTATGGTTTTCTGACTTCTTACGATTTTTCACATCAATTTAAATGTAAAACAGTAAGGAATAAATTTATTTATCATATTTATCTACTGAACTAGAAGAACGCTCATGTTAGTTGCTTGCTTTTGTTTTACGAAGCATTTAGAGTTACTTTTGATTTCACCTGAGATAGGTCGCAAAATAAAAATCTCCAATCGCGACCTTAACTTGTTATTATGGATTATTATGTAATTATTAAACTTCTACTGTAGTTAATAACACCTGTTTAAATTCAATGTTTTTCTCATCAGTTTTATTGATGATTGTTGTGTGATAATTTGAATAAAATATTCTGCAAACACAAATGCAATGAAAATTGTTCTATTAGAATTCAATTTGCTTCGATTTAATTTCTGTTTATTCTGTGAGAAGTTCTCAAAGTACAAAGTGCAATAATTATACTTTGCAAAGCGAAGATTAGAAAGGTTCAAAACTAAACCATTGTACCCTAGTCCAAAGTTACACCCATAAAATCTTTCTGGCAACATGAAATTGCTGTTAAAGTTGGAAATTTCCATAGTTAAATCAGGTCCAAAGTTCAGAATGTTCAATGGTAATTGAAGGGATCAGAGAGAGATAAATTTTCTTTCATGCTTCAATGAATAAAATGTTTTAATTTTGTTAAATATGTTAAGCATGGTTGAATGGTGTGCAGACACCAAATTATATTGCATTAGCCACCCTCGGTTCAAATGTGCTTATAGAATTAAAAGCAAACTCATTCGTTTGAAACACGTGGATATAATTATTTGAACAAATGATATTTACGTCATGATTTGTAGTAGAAATTAAATATCTTTTATTGTGACGTCATCACATGCTGATTATTTTAAATTCGGGAGAGGTTTTGAATTCATTTCATGAGCGCAACAGAGCGAAACGGAAGCACGAAGAATGTCATTAATAATGCATAAAAAGCGCATTGCATATCAAAATAAAATATTCTTTTTTTTTGTGTGTGGTGTTGCTTCAAATATCCTTTTTTATTTTTGTTTTTATTCTCGTTCTCACGTGCGAGTGTGGTTTATGTGTTGAAGGGAAATGTACGTAAGTTGAGAGTAGATGAAAAATATTTCATTACGTGGGAGATTTGAGTTGTCAACGTGATTATCGTATAAACCCTGACGCTATCCACCATCGTTACTTGACCATAACAAATAAAAAACCTTTCACTTTATTCACTTGAACGAATCCTAGTCGCGGATCAGAGATTGTGATGAAAAAAGTCACATTTAAGGTTGCCGAAGCTCTGTTTTTATTGTTTATTTTGTTTTGTTGTGGAGTAAAATTCATTTTAAATCGAATTTTTCAGTTGCCGAGTAAAGAACCGACGAGCCTTACATCGCGTACTGGTGACGGTGGAAGCTTGAATTTGGACAAGAAACCATTTTCACGTCCATTTTCGAAGAGTCGATTGGAGGGTAAGGGAAGCAGTGCCAGGATGAGCAGCCCAACTCCAGTTGAGTCGAGCGCTTTGCTACGACAAAATCAAGAACTTCGTCAGCGCTTACAAGAAGAATCAAACAGTTATAAAAGGCGATTAGATACTTATAAACAAGCGCAATCTAATCAATCAGCTCTTGTCAGCCGATTGCAAGCAAAAGTTTTGCAATACAAGCAAAGATGTTCAGAATTAGAAAATCAAATGAACGAAACTGTTCCGATTTGTCCACAATATGGTGAACCAAAGTCATTGATTCAAACATCAACTCCACTGCAAGCAATTTGCCCTAAATCTGGATATTCAACCACTGCACCAATGAGTTTGCCAACGGTTTGTCCAAGTGATGTCAAGGCTGGAAGTTATTGTGGTGATGAATCTGATGAAAGTTTTGAGCGAAAGCGTACTGATGAGGAAAAGAAATTGTAAGTTGAGTTAATTTGTGTAATCAAATTAGAACATTAAAAAAATAATTTTATTTACATTTTCAGTTGCGAACAATTAATTGCACAAAACGCACAACTTCGTGCTCAACTGGAAGAATCTCATCGAACAAATGAAAGTTTGACTAATGACTTGCAAAAATTGACCAATGATTGGGAAAGCTTAAGAGATGAAATGTTGGCGAAGGAAGATGAATGGAAAATGGAGGAAGAGGTGAAAACATTTTACAATTTCATTGCACTAATGTAGATTAATTTCATTCACTGTATTGAAATAAATTTGACTGCACAAATGTTTTATTTAATAAAAATTATTTGAAGAATTTTTCGTTTGCATTATAATTGGTACTTTAAGTTGATATTCGTATAAATCCTTGAGGTTTCTATATCAGGATCAGAGGGAATTAATTGCCGATTTAAATTCGTAACAAGTAATAAGGTTGGGTGCGCAATTGTCTAGCAAAAGTACGCTAGAAATCCCAATCATCATTTCCTGATGTTGAACCTAAATTAATGTTTTGTTTTGCATGAATGTTGATCTCAATATTTCCTGCTGGTGTGTGTGAAGTATGTAATGATAAGTAAATTTTCTTTTTGATATCTTTTCACAAAAAATATTTTTTTTTATTTTTGATTTGTAATTATTTTTATTTTTATATTAGAAATTTTATTTTGAAAATAATTTTTAACATGAGAATGAGAAATATTTTTGCAAACGTTCACCGAATTTAATGTTGAAACATTTGTAAGGTTCTTAAAATTTTTTTTCTTTCTCATAGGCTTTCAATGATTATTACAACAATGAACATTCTCGTTTGCTTAGAATGTGGAAAGAAGTTGTTGCAGTTAAGAGAGTTTTTAAAGAAATGTCTTCATCTACTAAAATGGAACTTGGAAAGATTCGTTGCGAAATTGCTGGCACAACTCGTGAAGTTTCTGGAGCTTGTAGTGGTGTTTCAGTTAATTTACGAAATGCTACTAAAATGGATGTATGATAAATCATATTTCACATTATTATTATATTTTAAAAGTCTCTATTAATTTAGGAAGTTCAAAACTTGCACCATGAACGTGAATTGGGAGAGTTGAAAGCACAAATTTCAACTTTAAGAATTTCACATGAAGGTGCTCGAAATGAAATTGTTCAACGTGACCAGAAGCTGCAACAATTGATGAATGATCTAAAAATGCTTGAAGATCGTTGCATGCAAGCAGAAAATCAATGCTCACAAAACCAAAGGATGAATGAGGAAATTGAGCGATTAAATGGAGCTTTGCGTGACATCGCACATGCTGTCGTTCAGGATGCTGATTCTGGCGATGCTGAAACAACACAACATTTGCATTTGTCTCAACCAACTTCTGGAGGAGTACCACAACGTTCTCCTAAACGTGGAGCAATGCGAGCATCGCAAGCATTTGCCGAAGGAACAATATCAGCAGTTCAAGCAGCATTACATAAGTATCAACTTTCAATCCATGATTTGCAAGTCAAATTGCAATCAACAAAAGAGTCACTGCATTTGTCAAAGAAGCAACTTGAATCGTCTGAAATAACACGAGAAAATGTGACAACACGAATGAACGAGTTGACAGAGAAACTTGACACAACAAATTATCAATTACAAGAGTTAATCAAGGAACGTGATAGTTTACAAAAAACTTTGGATGACATAAGAAATGATAAACATAGCGTGGAACGAGGAAAAGCAGAATTAAATTCCATAGTAAGTGCAGCAAACTTTTCTTGCTTTATTCGTGTGCAATATGTAAATTTAATTTATTTTTCAGGTTGATAGTTTAAATATTGATTATGAGAAATTACAACACATAAATTCAAAACTGCAAAAAGCTGTCGATTCATTAGAAGAGGAGAAAAAATCTCTTCTTATTGATTTGAAGCGAATATCAAAAGATAAAGAAATTCAGGAAATGAATTTGAGGTAAGTTAATTAAAAAATTAAATTAAAATTAATTTTAAAAACAAAATAAAATAAATAAAAATGAAAAAAAAAATTCATCTCGACCGAGACAGGATTCGAACCTGCAATCTTTGG